CGAATAGTAACATTTCTTTGGCTTGTGAGCCTTGGTATGGAGAGCTTATGGCTTATCTCTGTCCTCTTTGGTGCAACCAAAGGTTAGGAACTGAAGTTGTCAGAAAGCTTGGCACTTACATGCCCAGCAATAGATATTGTCAACTTAGACCACAGCAGGATCAATTTACAGGAATTCCCACCATGGCTTCTTCATGAGGTTGGGTTCAGAGGGTGAGTACACCCCAAGAAAGGGACAGAGGGAGTCAGGTGACACCTGTGTCCCTGCTCTGGCTTTGCTGTACCAGTCACATAGTAGCACATACCCTTCATTGTGTGGAGAAGCTGCAAGCTTGCCTTGGCTCTTGAGGACGGGTGGTGGGCTGGTATTTCTCAGCAGGGGGATAGCCAAGTTTCGGCGGAGCACATGAACTGCTGGCTCACTTTACAAAATAGATTTTCCCTAGGTGAGCTGTATTACACCAATTTATTCTTTATTGGTTAATGATTTTTGTATCCCACCTAAAATATCTTTATCCATCTTAAAATTTAATGTTATCCTTTCAAAGTTAGCTGATTCTAGCTTTTATGATCAGTGTATGTTCCACTTCTGTTAAATTAATTGCTGTATGAAAAGTGGAATTGAGGTTATTAAAAAGAAAGTTTGTTCTTATAACTCTGGTCCAGCACCATTGCCAGAACAACTTTCCTATCAATTGATCACATGTGTTGTCTTGGTTACTATCCTATTGCTGTGAAGAGACGCCATGACCAAGGCAATTCTTACATGAGAAAACATTTAACTGGGGCTTGCTTACAGTTTCAGAGGCTTAGCCCATTATCATCATGGCAAGGAACAATCACATGGTGCTAGAGAAGCAGCTGGAAGCTACATCTTAGTCCTCAGGCAGAGGAAGAAGGAGACACTGGGTCTGGCTTGGACTTTTTAAATCTCCAAACTCACTCTCAATGACAGATTTCCTCCAACAAGGGCACACCTACGTGAACAAGGCCACACCTCCTATTCCTTCTCAAGTAGTGCCACTTTCTGATGACTAAACCTATGAGCCTATGGGAGCCATTCTTATCCAGATCACCACATTCTCCTCCTGGTTCCCATAAGCTTATAGTCATATCATATGCAAAATGCATTCAGTACAACTTCGAAAGTCCCCATAGTCTATTACAGTCTCAACAAAGTTTAAAAGTCCAAAATTCAAAGTCTCTTCTGAGACTCATGGCAATCTCTTAACTGTAAACCCCAGTACAATCAAAATTTTAAAAAAGCAGACCATTTATTTCAAACATACTATGACACAGAATATATGTTACCATTCCAAAAGGGAGGAAAGGAAGCATAGTGAGGAAATACTGTGTCAAAGCAAGACTGAACACCGTCAGGACAAAGTTCAAATTTAGCATTCCCATATCTGATGTCAATGTATTCTTCACTTCTCCAATTGCTTTCATCTCTGTTGACTGCAACACACTTTTGTCTTGGGGCTGATTCCATACCTAGTCTGTAACTTTCCTCAGTGGGTGTCCCAAGACTTTGGCATATTCGATATCCTGGGGTTTCCAAAGTAATTGAGGTTTCACAAGCTACACAGCTTTACTTTATGGTCCCTTTGGGACTCCATGAAGGGACAACCCTGACACACACTAGGCCTCAGCAGCTTTCCTTAGTGGTTGTGGGAGATTACACAACCCCTGCCTTATATTCTTGCTCTAAAGCCAGGCCCATGTGGCTGGGGCTGCCAAGTTCTGTTACTTGCTGTGACTGGCACATGCCCCCTCTTTCAGTTACATTTGCATAATATTTATGTTGTTGATGGTTTCATTCACTGCTTAAGCCTTTCCTTAATTCTTTTTTTACAAGTTGGAAGCTTAGCTGGATGGAGTCTTGCACTGAGGTCACCATTTCCCTTATTCTACTTAGTATCAGGCTTTTTATCCCCCTGAGCACAAGACTAGGCTCCATTTCACTTCCTGGTACTCCTTTTCTCCTCCAACTGTACATTTTTTATTTTCCCTTGCTCAGCTTGCTCCTTTTTATTATAGATTTGTATAAGATTGGTCACTAATAACCACACGACATAGTCAATACTAGGCTGTCTTGAAATCTCCTCTACCAACACCATTAATTCAAAACTCTTCAATTTAGCTTCAGGCAGATTTTTTTTCTTGAAGAAGGGCAGAGGAAGCATCCAGAATCTTTGCCAAAATAGCATAGGAACTCTCTCTAGATCACTTACTAATAATCTTCCTCTCTCAAACTTCTTGAGCAGGGCCATCATAATCTACATTGCTCTCAGCACTACTGCCTTCCATGCTCCTACTAGTATGTACCATTAAGCTTTGCTTAAAATGTTCAACTGTTTTTCTAATCCAAAGTCCCAGAGTACATCTTCTGCCCACAGCAGCATGGTCAGGCCTGTAGCAGAAAATACCAGCTTCTGTCTTAGTCACTGTTCTATTGCTGTGAAGAGACACCATGACCAAGGCAACTATTTATTAAAGAAAGCTTTTAATCAGGGGCTTGCTTACATTTTCAGAGGTTTAGTCTGATATCCTCATGACAGGGAGCATGGTGGTACACATGGTGCTGGAGAAGCAGTTGGGTACTACATCCTGATCCACAGTCAGAGGAGGAGGGAGACACTGGGCCTGACTTGGGCTTTTGAAATCCCAAAGCTCACTGCACAGTGACAGACTTCCTCCAATAAGGGCACACCTACTTCAGCAAGGTCTTCTAATCCTTCTCAAGTAGTGCCATCCTCTGACGACTGAGCATTAAAATAAATACATGAGCCTATGGGGCCATTCTTATTCAAACAACCACATGTATATAGGTTGAATTATAGAATCCCAGCCTGGTTCTGTTGACTTGTCTCTGATGTCTCATGTCCCATGCATTTTTACACCAATGTCACACTACAAATCTCTGGTAAGGTTTGACATCATGTGGCATGAGTCCTCCCACTTTGTCACTTTTTGATAGTCTGTGCCCATAAAACTTCAGCTATAGATTACACACTATTTTTTCAAAAAGCCCTGCTGTAATTTTGGTTGGAATGGCATAGAATATATAGATCCATTTAGAAAGAGGATCATTAAAAAATTTTATTAATTCATGAATATTGTATTATCTCTTAACATGCTTATCTCTTATTTCTTTCTGTAACTTATTTGTATTCTATTTGTAAATAGGTCTTGTTGTAGAACACTGTACTCTGTAAACAAAAGAGCTTCCATCTTCATCAGTTGAGCTATGTCTTGTTGCATGAGCCCATTTAAGAGTGAACCTGTTGACTATTAGCATTTCCTCAGAGAAGGAAGGTGTGGAAAGTTCATTGGACCTTCACTTGGAAGTCCAGTTGTTCCTCCCAGCTATTTGTATGCAATTCTGCTCTAATTGCACATAGTCATGGGGTTTCCAGAGGTGCTGGAGTATATAGGGTGATGAAGAATGATTGAAAGGGGAGCTCCTCTGTGGCAATGAGGGAGCTGGGTACAGACATTCCAGAGCAGCTGCTTTAGGGTCCCTCACTCCTTCCTGCAGCCGTGCACCCATGTTCTTTAAGTAAGGCTAACATGGCCCTTGGTTCACCAGGGTGAATTCTAATGAACTCTACTCTGATGTATCCTTGGGATTGTCCAAAGAGGCAGTAGACATTGTTTGTACATCTCCAGGGCAGGACTTTCACAGTAGACTTGTAAACATTTAGTGCTTTTTGTAAATGGAAATTAAATTTTCTTTTTAAAATATGTGTGTGTGTGTGTGTGTGTGTGTGAGATGTGATGTGATATATATATGTATGGGTAAGTGTGTGATGTGATATGTAGTATATGTGTATCATGTGACATGTGCATGCATATGTTGTGAGCTGATATGTGATGTGTCTGCATGTATGATGTGATATGTGAATGTATGTGTGTGATGTGATATGTGGTATGTGTATATGATATAATATGTGGTGTGTGCATGTGTATGATAGAATTTATGCATGGATGCATGTGATGTGATATATAGTATGTATGTATATGATGTAATGTATGGTGTGTGTGCATGTATGTATGATGTTATATGTGGTATGTGTGTGTGTATAATGTGATATATGCATGGATGTGTGTGGTGTGATATGTAGTATGTGTGTGCATGATGTGATATGTGTATATATGTATGTGATGTGATATATGGTGTATGTGTATGATGTGATGTGTAGTGTGTGCATGTATGAAGTGAAGTGTGGTGTGTGTGTTAGTATATGATGTGGTATGTGTTTAATGTGATGTGTGTGTATGATGTGATGTATGCATGTATGTGTGTATGTGTGTGTGTGTGTGTGTGTGTGTACAGATGTGGTTTCGGTTAGGTTTACCATTTCAGTGTTTGTCATGGTTGTCCTTTGTTCTTGCTTCCTTTTTCTAATACTTTATTTTAAGGTAAATAAGCATTTTTTTAGTATTGTGTTTTGTCTGCTCCATTGCCTGCTTCTGCAGTTGTGTTATTTTATAGTGTTTATTCTTTAGAAATTAAACCAAGTGATGTGGTCTGGTTTTGAGCATACTCACAGGTCGTCTGAGCGGTGCAGATGTGTCCCTGACTCTTGGTTCTTGGGCTTTTGTTTCCATCTATGCTCTGCGTATGCCACAAGCCTATAGTGTATAGTCATTTTTACTTTCGAGAGGAACTTTTCCAGATGTTAAAAATTACATACAGGTGTGTGTGTGGAGAGAGAGAGAGAGAGGGAGAGAGAGAGAGAGAGAGAGAGAGAGAGAGAGAGAGAGAGGAAGAAGAAGAAGAAGAAGAGAAAGAGAGAGAGAAAGAGGAAGTGAAAGAGACAAAGAAATAAGATATGTAGATAGATAGATGGATAGATAGATAGATAGATAGATAGATAGATAGATAGATAGATATAGAGATATTTTCCCTTGTATTTATCTATGTGGGTTCACTGAGTCTCTTTTAAAAAATAAGAAAATATATTTGCCCTTCTAACTTCCTCTTTTCTGTCTTAGATTCACTTTCCTCCCACTTCAGACAAGTTGAGGAAACATTAAGACTTTCCCTCTACCCTCTGAACAATGGAAAGAGTCTAGAAAAGCACGCCGTAGTGGCTGACCACATGGCTGGCTGCCCCTCTCTGTTTTAAGGTATCCTCTTTGTTTTTCAGTTTGCCCTAGATTCTTGTATCCTGAGAGTCCTCTATCTTGTCATTCCGAGGATGGATGGCAGATGCTGTGTATCTGGTGGAACTGAAGGTACCTGGGAGGGATTTCTCTTGGACTTTCTGTCCCAGCTCTAGCTCAGTCTTCTGCTTGGAGAAGGCACTGTCTACCCCAGGGTGATCCTTCTCGGTCTCCTAGCCTCTGCTGGCCGTTGGCACAGCACCTCTGTGCACTAGATGAAAACAGTGGGGAGGTTGATGAGGTTCTGCCCTGAGCTCTGCTGTGCCCCAGATATGAGGCTAATATGCTCACTGCTGTAAATCTGTTAAATGTTTGGTGGAGTTCTCCTTTACCCCATCCACCAGTCACCAATTCTGCTCCTTTGCCTGTGAGAAGACCATGGCTCTTCTTGCTGGGAAGTGACCATTGATTGTTTTTCTGCTCCTATGCGTCCTTTCCAATTTTGTACTTCTGCTGGCCTCTTCTTGTGCAGGTGGAGGCTGCAATCCTTGTGACTTTCCACATCCTGACGTGGACTCAGTTCTTGCCACTTTTATTTAAATTCTCCCTCCAATGCTCAGGGTTTTGTCAATGCAGTTGGAAAACAGGAGGATCTGGGTGGTTCTGGCTCAGAATCCCCACTCCCTCCCTGCGCTAATGGCTTTTGATTGAATAAGATTAGAATTTCTGATTTTTTCTGTCTTATATAGGGTTTCTATTGCTGTGAAGAGACAACCATGACCCTAGCAACTCTTACCAAGGAAAACCTTTATTTGGGGATGGTTTGCAATTTTGGGGGTTCAGTCCATTATCATTGTGGTGGGAAGCATGGTGGCATGCAGGCAGACATGGTGTTGGAGAAGGAGCTGAGAGTTCTACATCCAGATCAGCAGACAGCAAAAAGTGAATGCCATGGTAGACCTGGGTTGAGTCTCTGAGACCTCAAAGCCTGCCACCTAGTGACTTACTCCAACAAAGCCACACCTACTCTGACAAAACCACACCTCCTAATAGTGCCACTCCCTATGTGCCTATTGGAGCCATTTTTATTCAAACCACCACATTCTACTCCCTGGACCCTATCGGCTTGTAGTCATATCACAATGCAAAATGCATTTAGTCCAACTTAAAAAGTCCCCATAGTCTATGACAGTCTCAAACCTGTTTAAAAGTTCAAAATCTGTTCTAGACTCAAGCAATCGTTTACTGTCATCTCCTGTAAAATCAAACTAAAAAAGCAGATAACATACTTCCAATATATAAGGGCACAAGATACACATCGCCTTTCAAAAAAGGAAGAAAAGGAGCATAGTGAGGAAACACTGGATCAAAGCAAGATGGAAAATCAGCTGGGCAAACTCCAAACTCTGCATCTCCGCGTCTGATGTCAAAGCGCTCTTCAGATCTCTATCTCCTTTCAGCTTTGTTGACTGCAGCACACTTCTTTCTCTTGGGCTGGTTCCACTCCCTGTTAGCGGCTCTCCTCAGCAGGGATCCCACAGCTCTGGCATCTCCAGCATCTTGGGGTCTCCAAGGCAATCCAGGCTTCACCTTCACAGCTTCATGCAATGGTGTCTCTGGTCCTCCATTCAGGGACACCCCTGACATATCCCTGGCCTCAGCAGCTTTCCTTAATCATGGAGGCAAATTCCATAATGCTTTTCTTCTATCCTTGACTCTAAAGCCAGAACCACGTGGCTGAAGCTGCCAAGTTCTGCTTGCTGGGCCTGAAACATGGACCTCTTGTTCAATTATATCTTCAACAACTTTCTGTTTCCTATGGTTTTCTTTACCGCCTAACCTTGGGTGTCCTGAAAGTTGATCTGCAGACCACCCTTGTATTGAACTTAGAGGTCTGCCTGTCTCTGCTTCTGGAGTGCTGGGATTAAAGGAGTCACCACCACACTCAGCTCTGAGTTTTTCTTGAATTCTGTTTCACAAGTTGGAAGCTTAGCTGGATGGGATCTTTCCCTGAGGTCGCCGCTCGTTTATTCCCATTAACATCAGACTTTCCTGATGTGGGAGAATTGTCTGTATTCTGTCAATCATATTTTAATAAAACGCTGATTGGCCAGGCAGGCAGTATAGGCGGGAAAACCAGACAGGAAGTAGAGGTGATGCAATGAGAACAGGAGAATTCTGGGAAGCAGAGAAGTTCCTCAGCCACTTCTGCGCAGATCACTGAAGAGGCAACATGTAAGCTGTCACAGCTGAGAAAGGTACGGAGCCATGTGCTAAAGTAGATAAGGATAATGGGGTAACATAAATTATAAGAGTTAACAAGAAGCCTGACCTAATGGGCCAATCAGTTTATAACCTTATGGAGTCCTGTGTGTAATTTCTCTTTGGGATTTGCCGGCTGTTGGGGTACCGGGCGGGACGGAAACCCCAGCAAGCCGGCCCTCATGTTACACTTTCCTTTAATTTGTTTATCTCCTTGAACATAGGGTTTAGCTCCATCCCAAATCCTGATAGCCCTTTTCTCCTTGAATTGTACATTTCATGCATTTTTCCTTGTTCATCTTGCTCCTTTTCATTATAGATCTTTGTAAGAGTGAACAGTAATAACCACATGACAGAGTCAATACTAGGCTGTTCTGAAATCTCCTCTGTCAATTCAACTAATTCAAAACTCTTCAAGTTAGCCTCGGGCAGATCTTTTGGACAAGGGCAGAAAACAGACACATTCTTCACCAAACTATCACAAGAACAATCTCTAGGACACATATTAATTTTTTTCTCCTCTGAAACCTCTTGAGACACACCCCCACAGCTCAAGTCATCCCCAGCACCACGGTCTTCCATGCTCCGATGAGTATGGTCCTTAAGCGCCACTTAAGCCATTCAACTTCTAATCCAAAGTTCCAAAGTCCACATTCCTTCAGAAAAACAAACAAGCAAAAACAAACAAACAAACAAACAAACAAACACCTCCCCCCCCAATCGGGCCCATCACAGCAATATCCCAGTCCTTGGTTCCAGCTCCTGTCTTAGGGTTTCTATTGCCGTGAGGAAACACCATGACTATGGTAACTCTTATAAAGGAAAAGATTTCATTGAGGCTGGCTTACAGCTTCAGAGGTTTAGTCCATTGTCATTGCGGCCGGAAGCAGGGCAGTGCGCAGGTAGACAGGCTGCGGAGAGTTTTACCTTCTGATTGGCAGACAGTAGGAAGTGAATGTTACACTAGACCTGACTTGAGCATTGACGATCTCAAAGCCCACCCCCTAGTGACTTACTTCCTCCAACAAAGCCACACCTACTTTAAGGCCACACCTCCTAATAGTGCCACTCTCTATGAGCTTCTTAAGGTATTAGGGCCTTTTTTATTCAGACCATCACACCTTCCCTTGAGAGCACTTATGTGACTCTTCAGAACCCAGTAATGGGGTTTCTGTTGGACGTCTGTTTTCAGTGTTCCAGAGACATCTGGCTTGCGTCTTCCCATGCTCTTCAGAGCATAATACAACATTCCCACTGCAGTGAGTATCTCAGACAAACTGTAAGAATGTTTTAAAGCCAGTGACATGGGGCCTTAGAGATGGCAAGTGAGAGCAGGGAGAGGAGACAGTGTGGGGCGGTTAGGAAGCTGCTAGCATTCACTTGGTATCCGCCTTGAGCCAGCCTTCCTCCCTCTCATCTTTGTGGCAATTCCTTGAAGAAGCTTTTCAGTTAACACATAAGGAAGCGGAGGCCAGCAGAGGATTTGAAGTCAGAGATGGCTCACTCCAAAATTCAGATCTTCCCTAGCCCAAATCCCAGAAGAAGGTGAGGTGTAGGGCAGATGTCTGCATCAGCGTGGGGTGATCTGACTCTTCAGGCCCCAGCCACAGGCTCAGAAGCAGCAGTGGTTTCTACAGCTTCTCAGACCTCTGTTCCTCCTATCAGGACTCCTCCAGTTCATAGTCTAACCCTACGACTTCCCAGTCTAATCTTGTGTGTGTTGCTCACCTCAGCAGTTTGTTCACCTTTGCCCCCACCACCCCCTCCCCCATCACTACGTCTCTTCAAACACATTTCCCTGACCTTTTACAGATGCTCCTGTGAGAGGCTGAGAGCAGCTCTTCCCCAGCTGGATTTATAGAAATGGACAGAGAGCAGAGAACAGCCCCCATCCCTTCCCAGCTTCCCCCGCCCCACGCCTCACAAACCTGTCTCCATGCAGGCGGCCTCCTCACCGGCAGCCTCTTCGCCTGGCGCTGTGGCACATGTGGGAGAAGCGGAGTGTAACCAGTCAACGGCGGATCTCTTCTGTCGGTGGGAAGGGCATTTCAAACTTGCTCATACCAACTTGGCACTTTGGGATTTGTCGGCGTCCGTCGATAGGAGGCAACAGCGGAGTCACAGCTCAAATGGGAACAGAGTTTGTCTCATTCAGGTTTTGAGACCCCCAGTGGCTCTCCAGGTGACTGCCCAGCTGGGATGTAATAATGCTGGATGTGGGGGTGTGTGTGGAGGACCAGTATCCTCTCTTTCAAATACTACTTCCTTAATAATAGCTGTGCTTCGGGCTGTCATATCCCCCACTACCACCTCATGAAGGGGATATTTCCAGGGCTCAAGCAGTTAGCAGGTGGTCACTGGGGCTTGAACCCAAGACTTTGAAGTCTAGGTAGGAGATTAATCTCTTTGCCAGGTGTCTTTTCACTCAGCAGTTGGGGTACTGCACCATCAGATGTGACCCTTGAGTACCCTGAAGGCTGCTAGTCAGCCACACACCCCTCTTCCTTTTTCTTACTGGGATCAGGATCACACTAGATCTCCTAGACTCTCTTAGAGTGGGTGTGGTTATGTGACCGAGGGCTAGCCAATGCACAGTGAGCAAGAGTGTCAACCCCCTCCATTTCCCCAAAGTGTGAATCTCAGGGCCCTCTCTCTTCAGGCAGGGCTGAACCGGCAGACAGCGATTTCCGGGACAGCCTGGGGATTCAGGCTCTGAGAACAGCTGGTTCTCAAGTCAAAAGGAGGCTTGGTCCCCGCGCCACCATCTTTCTCTTCCTCCAGACACCAACAGTATATCCTTACTGGCTTAACCTACTTAGATATGAAGGCTTATCAGCTGTAACAATTAATGTTATCTTAGGCAATGTAACTAGCACCTTCCAGGAAGGAATGGAAAGCCACCAAGGAACTGAAGAAGCAGACCTGTGATTAACTGTTTGGAGTGATGGGCCGGGCAAGCCTGGTCTTTGCTGTTACAGGGATTCAGGTTTGGACACAGGCTTCATCATAGCCTACTCGAGAGAGCCAGAATATCGAAGTTTTTTTTTTTTTTTTTTGTAAATTAGCTGATTTCTGGAAGTTATAATGATGCATCTTTCTTAATGATTTTAGGTCATTTAACAAATTTTATTCAACACACCATCCTAGTGACTCTTCTAGATGCTGGAGAGAATAAACAAAACAAAACAAAACTCCAAACACCAGCAAGCAGTGGGCAAATCTCTGCTTAAAAAATAGCTTAGGTGAGGTAGTGCTCTTTGGGGGTAGGGACAAGAGTGAATGAACAAATGCGCTAGCTTCTGACTAATGACACAGAGAACCGATAAAGAGAATAAGGGGGCAAGAAGGCCAGCTTGGCAGAGAGGAGGTGCCTCTGGTTAAGGATATTTGATCACAGACTTGAAGCGTGTGGAGGAGTAACAGCAAGTAGAGAGATGGGCAGGTTTAAAGGTACCTGTGACATACAGGCCGAGCAGAGGGGAGGCTGTGATGGGGAGGGCAAGAAGCGGTGGGTGGCGGTGAGCATCCAGCACTCAGCCTGCGTGGATGTTAGAGTTCTTTCTTCTCACCCTCTAGGCCCTCTTCCTCCCTCCAGAATCGATCAATGGCTTCTTACTTCCTGGGAAAGTCCTTATTGCTAAAGACAAACCACAAAATTAATAAAAATTAAAACAAACCACCTATAAAATTTCTTTACTACATGGCCCGTGTCTGAATTCCACCCAGAGGCTTTATCCCTGGAGTCTAAGGCTCTGGGCTCCTTCATCAAACAGATATTTCTGGCCCAGGCTGCTAGGGTCAGCTCTTTTGGAAATCATATCTTAGAAGGGTTGATGCAAGAGTCGCTGAGGTGAGGAGGGGAGAAAGTACTGAGATGCAGGTGTCTGGACATGGTGCCGTGAAGACTAAGTGAAGGCTGGGTGGTACTCTTGCTTCATAGCTCCTCAGTGTCTCAACTTGAGGTGTGAGTCAGAGGAACTCCGTCTGTAGATCTCACCGATGCCAAGAAAGGCTTGCTCACCACTTACAAGGTTATTTAGTGTTGAAAGAGAAGACCGCTACCCTCAACCTGTTACTACAGCCCAGGGGAGAGAGCTCCACAGATGTCAAAGGTCAAGTATGCCCCTACCTCCTGTGTGCTCCTCTGTCAAAATGCCCACTGTCAGCCCTCTTGATTCCAGCCAACAGAGGCAACTCTGTTTCAAGAAGTCGGTGAATTGATTGAATGATATTTATTCATCCCAGTGATTCTTCTGCCTCTGGAGAGGTAAAAACAAATTCAAGGCTAAGCTTCCAGGAAGACTGCCCCAACCACACAGTCAGTTGATTTGAAATCATCACAGAATCACCAAAGAATGAAAAGGCGAGACTGTCGATGGCACCCTCTGCTCGGCAGCCTTCTGAGGCCCTGGGCCTCAGGGGAAAGGGAGCCCTTGGCAGAACCTTCTGCCTTGTGTCGCTCTCTTTCTCACTTCTGACACAGAATGATATCAGTGTGTGCAAAGCACACCTATGTTACTAGTGTACATCTGACTGGAGAAGAAGCTTGGAGCTGGAGCTGTGTCGGTACGGCATCAGCACTCCTACCCCCTCCATGGGCAAAGGCCAGGAGAGCTTACAGAAGGCCCTTGGAAGATCCGTTCCTGAACAAAAGACCCCAGTTACCTTAGTCGGCCAAGAAGAGAATGGTGTCTAGGATGGTGGTCTCAAAATGTCACCAGTGACCACATCAACTGGACATGTCGGAGGGGCGGCTGGGTATGGGAACTGGGACAACCCAGCACCCCCTATATCAGCTTGGCCTTTCTGACGTTACTCTACCCTTCAAAGAGTGAAAGACCTTCTTGGGAAATGATGGGGAAACCAAGGGAAAAAGTCATCCAAGTTTGGTTTACATGAGGACTTGCTTACCAAATTATCCCAAGGCTTGCCCAAACCCACAGCTTAGAAGAATGCAGAATTCTTTTTGAGAGAGTTGGGCTGACAGGAATTAAGGAACATTTTCCACCAACCCCAAGCTGGACACCAAACAGATGTGGCTTTGGTTCCTTACTGCCTTAGAAGGCTCTCCCCATCCCCAGCTTACGAACTTCAAGTCTCAGGGAGATAAATGGTTGTTTACTTTTTTTTTTTTTTTAAATCTGACTTGGTACCATCCATGAATTACACACAAATGAACAGCACATTGGAACCCCTGGCTTAGGCAACTATACACGAGCCAGAACTCTAAGATAACACAGACATGAATCCCACAACACAGCCACAGATGACTCTGGTGTTTCCCAAGTCACTTTTACACAAAGGGCATGGCTTCTTGGCAGGGCATGCATGGTTAGAAAGGGCACATTAGCAACGCCTGTTTCCCGATGAGCTGTGGCCTGTAGCCCTGCCAAGTCTCCGACCATCCCTTGTACCACTGTACCTGGGGCCTGCTGTCCGCTACCTGGCATGCCACGCCTCAAAGTAGGCAAGCCATCCTTTTTCGGGGAGATTTTTGTTCTTGATGTGCGTCCTGCTGTTAGCTCCTCCCTACTTCTTGAGATGGAGTGTGGGGCAGTAGCATATGGAGCCTGACTCTTGGGTTGCACACTCCCTGCAAAATCTGACGCTTTAAAAGGCTCCATCCGGCCTGTGCTGGTCCCTAAGCCTGTCTTGCTTTAAATTTCCCTGATTAGTTTCTGTTCTCCAGCAACATATAACCCCCTTTTTCTAGCTCGCTAACCTCAGTGGTAGCTCTCCCCATGTTAAACAATGGTCTGATTTGGCAGGGAGAAAGGCAGTCAATCGTTTCCTTTAAATCTTAATGTTTTAGGCCCCAGGAACATTTGAAGTACCTATTTAATGAAAAGACTTCGGGAGAAAGCCTAGGTAAGATCTTCAAGGCTCTAATTGCTCCCTGGAGAAAGCTGTCAGGCCGCATAGCCTGGCTCAGGTCGTGTTTGCAGAACAGGAAGAGTAAAAACAAGGCAGAAGTCGGGAGCGGAGGTTCAGGGGCCGCCACCACCCAGACCTCTTGGCCGGGTAAGGATTTCTGGAATCATGCCTGTGTGGTCTCCTGTGTGTACCTGCTGATTTGACCACTGCATCGCCAAATGGCCAAACAAATAACTTGCATTTTCCTGGGTTTGGTTGCCTTATAATAATATGGACCCAAATTACAGTTCTCTCTTCTCTTTCATTTATATACAAAACCCAAATGACACAAACAAAGCCCTACGCTCCGTTTTCCCTTTGAGCCTCCACCAGATCCCTTTGTCTGTGCGTCGTTTATTTATTGGTTATCCAGATATTTGAGACAGGCCTCCTGGCTCAGGACGGCACTGTGCTGGGCACAAGGGTTTGCTCGTATTCATCACAGATGAAGAGGCAGGAGAACGAACTTCTGCCCAAAGAATGGGAGCTGAGAGGCTCCATCTCTGCAGGGAGGGCCCCCCTAAGGTGGTTTCCCTAGAAGACTGCCCTCCGGGGCCAAGTCTGGACTGTGTAGGGTAGCACGGGGGAGCTCTGCCATACAATAATAATGTGCGCTGTCTGCCCAAGGCATGTGGAGTGCAAGGCACTTTGGAAATTAGGCTCCAAACAACTTCTTTAATTGAGACAAAAAGCCCTTTGTGTGGGCCTTCTTCCCTCAGCCCACAGAGCATCCGTGTTGACTGCGACAGCAGCTCCCGTCTCCCCAGAGCGGCCTCAGGTAGAAACGCTGCCTGACCGCCAGTGGCCATGCATCTGTGACCATTACACGGGCCTAAGTGGGTTTGGGAGCTTTACCTTAGGAATTAAGTAAGAAAAATGAAGGCACAAGCCGGGCTCACGGTAGCTCAGACAATTCCGTCTTCCCTTGATGTGAATAAGACCTAAATTGGGAAGTCTTTGGCCCATGGCGAGGGCAGATAAACGTCTCGGATTTGATGTAATCCCAGACCTCAGACTTGAAACTCAGCTTGACCCTTCCCTTTGAGCACAGGGAAGGAAGCAGAGGAAGGAGAGTGGTTCAGCCATATGTCAAGTCAGGAGAGAAAATGACAGCTAGCGCAAGGTGGAAATGTGCAGAGACAGGGGTGGAAGCAACAAAAGAAAATTCTACAGAGTTAGACACAACGTGTCCTTTAGGAGACAAACAGGCCGACCTGAGAGGGAAGATAACGCCACGATAGGATCTGTGGAGGGACCGGGAATGTCTGCTGCTTCGGAATCCAAATAACCACGAGGCCGCTAAGTGTACAGCCAGCCAAAGCTGTACTCAGGAGCCCGAGTGCCGCGGAAGGTGTCAACTCTCACGGACCTACATTTCACACAGGGGCCCGGAGGCAGGGGAGTTTACATGAGTAGCCCTGTTTGCAGAAAGCGTAGTGTCTGTGCCCTTTCTTGGGGATGATATCTTCAATGTCTCAGTCACATTTCTAGCTGCCATCTTGTTGGGTGATGAATGTCTGAGGAGAAGGTAAAATCGTCTTTTCGTGAACCTTCTTTGGGCTTTACATATGAAAATACAGGCTGTAAAGGCTCTGCCCCTGCTCCTGCTTTAGGGGCGGGAATGCTGAATCGCTGAGCAGAAGGCTCAAGGCCACCCAACTAGTAAATAGTAGACTTGAGATGCAGCTCAGTGGTCTCCTATAAAGACCGGGCTAGGCCGCAGTAGCAGAGGGCTCCAGGAACCTCCTGCAGCTGGTCAGGACAGGTTAACATTGGGCTCCCACATTCTCCAGCTTCCCATGGGCTCCCAGCGTGCCCGCCAGACCAAACTAGACAATAACAATTTCAAGGTGTTCATAGTGAACGGTGGGGCTAATCACCGAGTACCGCTCATCCCCTTGCCCCATCTGTGAAATAACAAGGAAGGATGCCCTGGAAACCCCACCATTAGAATTCACGAAGGCTTGCCCAGCCTTCAAGGTGTGGCAGGCTCAGCAGGTGGTGGCAGGCATGGGGTGGGGAGTCGGGATGCCTGCCTCCCAATTTGGTGTCCTCCCTCACATTCCCCTTATCCCTTCCACTCCACAGGCAGTGCACGTTTTTGAAGTTTTCTGCTGTCTTCCTTTTTCTCCTTCTCTTCTCCCGAGCTCTTACCACTGGTGTGGTTTGACCTGCTGTCCCCAGTCTATACACTAGCCATCACACAGGGGCACAGACTGGACCAGCAGCTCACCCTTGCGGAGTCCCCTCTCAGCCTCTGTGTCTGTCAGCTCTCCAGAGAAGCAGGACAAGGAGTGGCGGACAACCTCCTGAGGGCAGGTTGGCAGACTGTGTGCGCTGTGGGGGTGGTCAAGAATTTTTTCTTTTTCAAAGAAACCCTTGAACCTCTATGGCCTGCGTACTAATTGGAGGAAGCCCACCCAATACTGAGAATCGTTTCCTTTTACTTGAGCCAGGTATGGGCACCAATCACGCCCTCAACTGGTAGAAAATACACAGGATGGCCCTGTCAGCACACATGCCATTCTGCCCGTATAGTTCTGCTGGCCACCGCGATTCTGGTCCCATTGGGTGTCCTTCCTCTTCTTTCATCCTTTCTTCCATCAGCTGGTCTTCAGGCTCCATCATAGATTCTTTGTTCATTATAGAAGCCACTGCCCCAGGCATTCTTGCCTCCTGGACACAGCCCAATTCACCCTTCATACTAGCGGTTGTCTGTTGTGTTTCTAGAAACCATTGAGCATGTCCGTGGAAAGGGTCAGTCTCTTTACTTCTCCCTTGATCTGTTCACATCCTTTCTTCCTTGTTCATCCTCTTACCTCAACCTGAAACCCATCTGCCATTCCTGACCCATGTCCCATAAGTCTTCATGTTCGGTTTGCTCCTCAAGTCCTGCTAATATCTTTGTCTTCATGTATCTCATTTGTCAAGCCAAAGAAACACACACTGGTCATCTACTTGCGTTTTGGAACCTGAGGCTGGAGAGGATTTCAAATGCTACGGAACTGGTCAGCTGACTTTGTTGTGGAGAAGGTCCTGTGTCGGCGTGACAGCAGCGTTCCTGCCATGGTAGAGTGTGGGGGCCCAAGATTTCAGGCCGCAGGGCCACAAACTGCAGAAATGCATTTTCTTGTAGCCTGGAAGCTGGAAGGCCATGATCCTGGTGTCTACAGGGCTGGTTTCTCCTGAGATCCCTCTCCATGGCTTGTGATGGCCCTCTCCTTGCTGTCCTTGCATGGCTTCTCCATAAAGAAGCTTCCCCTGTCAGGACATTACCATTACTGTTAAGGCCTGGTCTAAAGGCTTCATTTTAAGTCTGTCATTAGAAAAACTATTTTCCCAATAGTCACATTGTGAGGTTGTAGGGTTGCTTGTGACTACAGCAATAGGACCTTTGGGGGAACATAAATCAGCCTGTACAGCCTACTCCTCACCTACCAGATGCCAGTATCTGTCCCCCACTTCAAACTGTGACAACCACCAAAACTATCCAGAAATTGCCAAATGTCCCTGGGGACAGAGCAGCCTGGGTCAGAGCCACGGGAGAGGTCTGAACCCTGACTGCATATTGTAATCGCTAGGAGAAATTAAACCAAAAACTCCCAAAAGGTTCATAGAGATTCTGCTTTAATTGAATTTTGGGTAAAGATACTTTGTCGTAGCGTTTCCAAAATTTCCAACTTGCAGAACAGGGAGTGTTCGAGTGAATAAGACAGACATTAAGCAACAAATTTTGTGACTAACATTTTAAAACACGTAATATGTACTATTTTGCAACATATTTTTTTAATAGCTACCTGGAACATCTTTTCTGCACCATGAGATAATCTATAATAAAAAAATTTAATGAGTGTTGAAAATGTTGCAGGTTATGTAACCAAGGCCTTGGTATCTGTGCTAGAGCGTGAAGACTCCACTGAGCTAATGCAGTAAAGGACAGTCCTCTGTGCCTGTCTTTAGAAGCAGCAGCGATCAATTTCTTAGGCTATAATTTAAGAGGTGAAAAACCCGAGGCAAAAGGGGTATGTGGGCTGCCAAGAGGCTTCCGTGAGTAAAGGCCCTTGTGGCTCAAGTCTGAGTTCAATCGTGGGAACCCACGCAGAGGCAGAAGAACAGAACTAGGTGCTCCCAGCTGTCCTTGACCTCCAGTGCTCTCCACGGCACACCCGCCCTAGACAACAGCGGTCAAACAGCTTTTGAAATGAATATGAATATTTTGTGGGTTTTGATGCCTGTTAATTGTTGTGTGGTGGGTTACTGTAGCCCCATTGACAACATCGATAAGAACAGTCGTTACCTTATGCACCTTTATGTATTTCAGTTTTTGAAATGAAAGGAAATGTGGTACCTGTGTAACTTAATTTTCTTCGGTTATTCTTAAAGTTGAGCATTTCCCCCAGCACTACGCATTAGTCGCGTTTCCCTTTTCTTGGTTTGCTGGTTTGTGACATTTGTTCTTTTGTTAAACAAAACTTTAATTTTCTTAGAAAGTGGTAAGAGCTTGTGAGAATATTAGTTATCTGTTGCAGGCTGTGACTGGTTTTATAGCTATTGTTTTTTAATCTTTAGGACATTTTATCCCTGGAAGCATCCTGGGCAGTCCTGCCTTTCTCCATGCTCTGCCCTCGAGGTCCCGTCTTCCTTCCTCCGCCTTTCTCTTTTATTCATAGAAAACATCTTCATAAACTTTTGTAGACCACGATCAGATCAACCGTTGTCTATATTTTATTTTATCACTTTTAATTTAAAAATTATTTAAATTATGTACAGGTGCCCAGAGGCCAGAGAGACTGGATCTTCGAGGAGCTGGAGTGCCGGCAGTTGAGAGCCACCTGCTGTGGCTGCTGGGAGTCACCTCGAGTCTTCTGGAAGAGCAGTACCTGCTCTTAATCTATGAAACATCTCTCCAGTCCAAATATATATATGTTTTGAACCTTTGGTTTTCTAATTCTGTTTAGAATGACATGTAACTAAGGTTTGGATTTCCGTTTTATCCCTCAACTGGTCTGGAACTACAACTACTTCCAAGCGATTTTATTTTCTCCTATGAATTCAAAATGCCCCCTTTCTAGATTAACTTCTATTCTGATGGCAGGCCTGTTTAGGTACTTTTTATTCTACGCATTGATTTATTTACTACATTGACAACTTGTTTTGGAGGTTGAAGTTCATTCTTGATGTTTTACAAATGAATTTTTAAAATTTAAAACGGTGCTTTTTTTTTTTTCTGAATTCCAAAAATTTCCCATTGTCGTTTTTGGGTCAATGTCCGTTAACTCAGGTGGAATTTGCAACTCCACAACACCACCCCTCACCATTAAGACATGGAGTGGCATGCCCGCAGTCTTTGCTCTCCGTGGACCCATGTCAAGCTTGGCATGTCCATAGGTCCTGCGCATTGTTCCTGTAGACAGAACCCCTTACCTGTGACAGGTGCTAGGTGCTCACGGCTGCTGCTCAGAAGTAGCATCGGAAGTAGATGCTTTAACTCTCTTCTGTGATGACTGAATTACTAATTTCAGCGGTTGACTGTCTTAACCGCCTGTGCCAGGTTGTGTGAGTCTGGTTACCTTTCCCACCCTTGGAGTCTTACTTCTTGCCATATTTCTGAATTGGATAAATGTCTAGAAAAAGTTCCGCTATGATGGAAGTAGTATGCACTCTTTGCCCGGTTGGTTTGGGTGGTTCCACTGGTTCTAATACGTGACTGATCAAAGTACCGACTGGCTATTGTGTCCTCCTCTCCCGCACATGCTTCTGTATTGAAATCATGCAGATTCACACAACAAACACGGGGTCCTTACCAAAATTACATAGTTTGGAAAATTTAATATGTCAGTAGGATGGCCAAGATTACTATTATCATTATCATTATTATTTTGAAAGAATTTCCCATTAAAATTTCTTTCTAATCCCTTGAAAGTCTTTTTAGTTTCTTCTGTAGAATTCATCTGTCCAGCTTCTGAATATAATTTTGATAACCTACATTCTTGTATAAAATGATTTTCCAATTTTTTTCATTTGCACATGAGAATTTTATCTACATACATACATTTTATGCCTATGGATTATGTACCTCTTTTACCCCAATTTTTGAATATTTTCTTTTTGTATTACATTTACTAATTCTATTCTTTTCTCTTTAAATTTTTTAGTGTGTTTTACTTTTGTGAACCAGTCTTCACTTTTCAAGAAGCATATGGTTGTCAAAAACATCAAGAGTTATATTTTGTTCCTCTTACTCTAGATTTGAGAGTCTCATCTGGCAAATTCATGTACAATTTTCTATATAGTCTAGGTCAGGAGCATAACAATTTTTGTTAATTTCTAGATCTTCCAGGGTGAAGATACTATTTAAATACTCTCAAGTTTTGGAACTAATTGTGATTTTCCCCCTTTGTATAAATATATTTTCAAAAAGCCAAATAGGTGCAGGGCATGGTGGTACATACCTTTCATCCTCTGCCTCAGGAGGCAGAGGCAGAGGCAGGTGGGTCTCTAAGTTCAAGGCCAGCCTAGTCTACACACACACACACTTTAAGGGGAGGGCTAGAGGATTGCTTAGCAATTATGAGCATCACTGGTTGCCCTTGAAGAGGATCCAGGTTTGGTGTCTAGCATAGTGGCTTACAACTGCCTGTAACTCCAGTTTCAGTGAACCTGGCACATTGTTCTTGCCTCCAAGGGCTTCTATGGAGTGCACTTTCATAGATGCAGGCAAAACACTGATATACATAAACAAATCCTTAAAACAAGCAAACAAACAAAACAAAACAACACTGGTACTAAAAAAAACAAAAGACAAGCAAAACCCCAAATAGATGGCAATATTTGCTTTTCTTCTATAAAATTCCTCTGATTGGTCTCCCTCATTACCTTTAGGACGCAACCTTAAGTTCTTAACACTGCAAAAGAAGTCTTTTCTCCAGCCTTGTCTTTTGTCTGGTGTAGTCACCCTCTCTGTCTCCTGCTGACGTATGGCCACACCCCTCCCCTCTCCTCCTGCTGGCATATGGTCCCAAGTGGAAGACCTGTGCCCCCACTTTGTGCATCCCTCCAGCTCTCCATGGCGATGTGTTCCACTGATGTGTCTCGTGCCTATTGTTCCATTAGCCAATGAACTCCCTGGGGTCCTGGTCATTTTTAGAGCTGTGCTTGGCATATACCAGGCATCAGTAAATGTCAGCTGACTTGACGTTGAATGACAGACGGGAACATGACACAAACTGAGACTGTATATCCCATTTTCAGATGAACACTGCAGTTGACTTATTGATCCACAGCAAGACTTCAGAGATCTAAAGGGTATTTGTAAAGCAGGTGGAGTCCCTGGTCTCTATTGGTAGCCAGCGGCCCTTTATTGGCAGGATTGCTGTTAGATCTTCCTTTTGATGGCGCTGTTCCACGGCAGAGCACTTTGTGCGACAGAAGAGGAGAAGCAGTCAGGATGCGGGGATGATGGGGCCTGAAGATGCTTCTAGCATCTTCTGTCAGGCTGTCACATAGGTTCTCAGCCCCTCAGCCTCACATCAGCCAGGAAAAGTACACCAGAACTCTAACTGCAAAAAGAGGCGTTGGTGGTAAGCGGCAAGGAAAGGGTAATTCCCAGCACCAGAAGAAACCGCTCTTATTTTGGGATGCATTTTCAAACTTCTTAGCCCCTTGAAATAGGAGGCAGAATTTCCTGTGTTGTACATTTGTTTTTTTGTTTGTTTGTTTGTTTGTTTTTTCCTTCAGTGAGGGTCTAGTTAGATTCTCAAAATTTCTGTGATCCAAAGCTTAAGATACATCTTTTTACAGGGATCCTAAACCCGAGGTCCATGAGTCCTGATCAAAGAGGAATAATTTTGTTCCCTTTTCCAATCCATCCCTCTCATCCATATAAGGGTTGGCTGATCTAGTACGTATGGAGCAGCGTCTGTGTTGAAGCCATTTGACTCTTCAAAGATGAAGAGGACACTATCCTGACCCCAACTTTTAGGAACTTAAGGTATAATTGAGGACAGAGAGATAAAAATTAATTCTGGTCAAATGTGATCAGAATTCTGTACCAATGCAAGTAGGCTGTCCAGAGGTTGGAGCATCACTTTCCATCTGTAAGCAAGGATAGAAACATTTCACAAGCTCAAGGTCATGAGTACAACAAGAGAGGAAATGCCCATGCTGGAGATGGCAAAGTTTCTATAAAACAGCTCAACACATAACCCTTGCTGGGATTTGAAAGCCTAAGCTGGGAGGCCCATGGGGAAAGGAAATGGAACTGAACTCAGGGGCAGCCTGGGATCTCAGTACAAAGTCTGCCTAATGAGGGAACACACAGTTCTTGGTAAAGATGAGAGAGGGACAGCAGAAATACCTTCCTTTGGGCCCAGGGTTGGGGTCCAGTCCTGAAGAGAGAACCCTGGGCTCATGCTGAACATCGCAATTTGTCTAAGAAGCCTGGCATCATGAAAGGCAGACAGCAAGCTCAGAACCAATGTGCAAGAAAAAAGAAGTGAAGAGCCTGGGAAAAGGGAGCTGTAGCTTTAGTCTAAATATTTCCATCAATAAGATAGGGTGTAGAAATGAAGAAACAAGAACAGAAAGCAATGAAACAAGAAAAGCTGACTAGAAAAGGTCAGAAACTTCAGCAATGAATAAACAGTTATTACAGTAAAAAAAAAAAAAAGAAACCAGACAGGGGTGTTTAATTGATAATCATGTAATAAACCAACAACATGAAAGAATAAATATATAATTTTACCTTTGTGTCAAGAGGTTAGGCATTGCTTAGCTGGTTTATTTTACTTGAGTCCCGAAGAGGTTGTAGTTAAGACAAATCTATGGATCTAAAGACACTACTTCTAATTTGCATAGTTGGCAAAAACCAAAGCAGAATCAAACAACATAGTTCTTCCACAGGTGAATCTCTCCATAGCAGAGTCTGGTGTCTCTCCCATCACAGCTGCCGGCTTCCTCTAGAGCAGGTGACTCTAGAGAGAGTCAAGACTATGGCAGCTTCCACATGCTTATAACCAACTCTTTAAGTTCATGGACTGTCACTATTATCCTGGTCTGTTCACTACATGAGATTCAGTTCAGTGAGGCCCTTCGAGGAGAGCTTAGATTTCGTTCTGGAATGACGGACCGTCAGAGACTTCATACGTGTTATTTTCAAATTGCACAATGACTATGTACCATGTTTCACACAGTGAGCAAGTGAATGAGGAAACTGGAGGGCTGGGGTGAGAAATAGTCCAAAATGTGGCAGGAAGTTCTGAAGAGATGAACAATCACGACGACAAAGTGAAGAGACCCGAGAACGTACCAGAGAACTCCAACACACAACTCACCTGGAGCGCCAAGAGGGCACAGGAAGAAAGATGCAGAGGTAATGATTGACCGTGTGGTGCGTGAGAAGTTCCTGCGCTTAGACGCTACCTTCCAGGTGGAAAACTCTCAAGAGGGGAGAGCGGTGCAGATTTGGGGTCGCTACCTAGTGCTCACACTGGCGCCAGGACAATGGGCAAAGAGTTTTGAGGCAGTGAAGGGTGAGACATTGCTTTAGCTGGTATGGTAAGACAATGCTGTTGGTCGTGGTGGGAAGCAGAGGGCTGATGTGGCGGGCAATTACAGGTGTGGCGGGCAAACATATTCATTTACTGCTTAGCAGAACGGGACCAGCTGTGTTGGGCGGTTGTGCTGTCCCAAATACGCGCTACCCACCTCCCACTGATCCTGAGCCAACTTCCTCCCTAACCGCCATGAGCGAAAACCCTGACAACCCTGGGAAGCGCAGCCCTGGAAACTCAGAAACCTAACAGCAAGGCTGAGAACACCATGCTTGGATCTTCACAGGTGAGACCCCCTTCTGCCCAGGCTTCTCTCCCCAGCGCTTAGGCCTTAAATACCAAAGTGCTGCGGCCAAATGAAGACATTTCTCTTCAGCACCACGGCCTTGACTTGCCACATGCCTGTTTATTTTCACCCCCCAAAACTGTAATTAGTAACCAGGCTTGGTTTCCCTGTAGACTCTGAGACAGGAGTAAGTGTTAATTTGAACATTTGCAACTCGCAAATGCCTTCCCGTTGGCCGCACACAACTTGGCAGTTTGCAGAGCTGCTGGACCCCTTGAGGAAGGTGGAGGTGGCACGGAGTCGGGCTAACACTATCAGTTGTCTGGAAGCCCTCAGAACAAATGGTGCGGTGGACGGAAGTGGGGGGAGACCGACAGTCAGGTCTGAGCCCACAGGAGAGGGCAGCCTGTCCTCAAATGAGAATAAAAGGATTCTGAGAGGGGAGGAAATTAAGTACTCTCATAGAGAAAGCATCAGGGGGACAATTCTCTGGCTACTCATTGCGTGAGCCAACTGCCTGAGACATGCTTTTTAGGGTCAAACCTTTGCCCTGTGTGGCCTGGTCCCTCTTCTCAGGCTGAGGCTGCCTGAGTTGAGTCTGTGTGCTGTGATGGCCGTTGTCTACGGTGCAGAAAAGAAGGGTCTAAGGAACAAGCTTAGGGGAGAAAAGGAAAAGAAACAGTGGCAAGGAGAAAGTCATGCAGCCATGTTGGTGCAATGGGGACTTTCCCGTGGGATCTGGTTCGTTCACTGGTCCTTCCTTCCTGTTGCCATGGCTCTCTTGTCTTGGTCTTCATGGTTTTTGTTTTCCATTTTGTTTGTTTTACCCCCCCCTCCTTTCAAGCCACTTTCAAATTGGGTCAATAAAAGGTTTCTATACACTTTTTCTCTATGCAAGAGGAAGAATATCTTTCCGATGTCATGACGGCGGCCCCGATTTACTCATAATGGTTTCATTTCCGTCCTCCAGCCTTTGCCTTCGTTGTTCTGTCTGTCTTCACTCTGCCCCATTCGCTGTCTCTCTCTGTTTCCCTCTGTGTAGCTGTCTCTTCGCTATCAGCTGGAGTCTTTCCCCTAATGAACCACAGTCGACATGCCCATGAAGCATCCAGCACCCAGGCCGGCAGTATT